GACAATAAGATATTTTTAAATGAGAGAGATAGACCATATTCACATAACTTTTATTATATTGTTAAAATTGTTCTGTTTTATTAATAGTTCTTGTTAATCTTCCCCTGTGCCTAAGTTAAATATAGGTATGTAGGAGAAACATAGTACATATAGGGCTTGGTACTAAGCATGGCTTCACGCATCCACTGTGGGTCTTGGAAGGTATTCACTATGGATAAAGGATGATCACTGTGTCTGATTAAAAGATTGAAATATCTGTCTCCTATTTGATGATTTTTAAATTCCCACTATGGGAATTCCAGCAACTGGGAGTGCTGGCAAAACCTCACTCGGTTAGTTCGGGGAGTTTCTCTAACAAAAGAGGCATACTTTGGACCAAGCTTGCCTTTTCTTTTTTTTTTTTTTTTTTTTTTTTTTTATGATAGTCACACACACAGAGAGAGAGAGAGAGGCAGAGACACAGGCAGATGGAGAAGCAGGCTCCATGCACTGGGAGCCCGACATGGGATTTGATCCCGGGTCTCCAGGATCGCGCCCTGGGCCAAAGGCAGGCGCTAAACCGCTGCGCCACCCAGGGATCCCAAGCTTGCCTTTTCATAGGTCAGTTTAAAACACTTAAACTTGACTTCAGCCATTTAGGACAGTTCAAAATGTGAATCATGAAACTCAGACTATCTTCATGATCCCCTTTAGTATTGTCCACAAAGGAAGTATGACAGAGCAGATTACTGCCCAGGAGGGTCATTGGTCATTTCTGTTCCCATTAGCATTATTACTTCTGTTAGACTGAACACACTAAAAAATTGCATTTCTTAAATAAGCACAGTAGTTTATTAAATATTATGTACATGGGACCAAGGTTGGTTAATAGGATGCTGTTCTTCATGATTGCACCAGAAACAAAACACAATGAGAATAAATTGAAACCCTAGATTTACTTAAAAATTGGTTTCAATTCTAATTTATTTAAGAAAATGTATTTCCTTAAGCGTAGCTTAGTGTAGTTTTTATAAGGTATGGCAACATGTAGAAAATGGAATTTCAGCTACTAATATCAAGATATGTTTCTTTTCTGCCGTTTTGATGGGGTTGATACTTTTTCTTGTAAGGTTCTTATGAGTCTTCCTATAGGAAAGGAAAGAAAGTAAGGTGTCCTTGCTGAAGGAACAAACTGATAATCTCTTGGTAAAGTTTATGGTAGGTAAAGAAATATTTTAAGTTTCTATTTAAACTCAGTTAACATACAGTGTTATGTTAGTTTCAGGTGTACAGTATAGTGATTCAACACCTCCATAGGTCATCCTGTGCTCATCACAGCAGGTGCACTCCTTAATCCCCATCACCTGTTTCACCCCTTAGTCCCCATCACCTGTTTCACCCCCCACCCACCGCCCCTCTGGTGATCAGATTGTCACCTAGAGTGAAGAGGTAAAATCTTTGGGGCCCCTGGGGGTGCTTAGTCTGTTAAGCGTCCAACTCTTGGTTTCACCTCAGGTCATGATCTCAGTGTCGTGAGATCAAACCCTGCATTGGACTCCTCACTGGGCGTGGGGCCTACTGGAGATTCTCTCCTCCCTCTGCCCTGCGCCCTCTCTTGGGTAGAAAAAAAAAGAGGTAAAGTCTTATTTTAATTAAGCTGACAATGTGGTAAAACTGCTGCATTAAATTGTTCTTATGTGTAAATGGAAGTCTTGCTACAGAGTTCCAGACGAGGGTAGTTTATTAAGTTACTTGAGTGCCTTTCTGAACACCAGTTTCTTTCTGAGAGAATTATGAATTGGATTTTTATTTCAAATTCATGCTTTGTGCTCATATTTAAGCAGCAAAGACCATAAGACCTCTACTGTCCTTCCCCACTTGCCTTCTCAATCACGCCCCATCCTCACTGAGACAAATCTCAGTGTAGCAGTGGGTCTCGGGGGATGCAGGTAGATTGAGAATCAGCACACAATATTAATAATATTCTACAAGTGGACAGTGCCTTAAGACCCCACATAGATATTCTGCTTAATAGAAATGCCTAAAATCATCACCAGAAAAGTATTAGGAGGCAAGAGTTTACTTCATTAATCAAAACTTCACATTAAAATAGTCTTTAAAGAAATAAAAATTAAATAAAAGTCTTTAAGTTCTAGTGTAAAATCAAAAGGCAGTCTGTTGGGTTTCCAGTATAATCTTATATTGACAGCTTTCTAAATAATCAAATAATAACATAATTGATGAACTGAAGACACAGAAGGGAGGGCTTTAGGCCTGGAAGATTTCAAAGCTATTAATTTGTGTATTTATGAAAACATCTTTGAGTTTGAGAACATATTTTATTTGGTTTGAGAACATACTTTAAAATTTCCTTGCTCTTATAAAACTGGCTTTTGCCTTAGTTATATACCTTTTACTGAACAGGAACAAGCTGAAAGCTGCCTACCTAATGTCAGTGGAGTCTTCTGAGGGGTTCCTGGATGAAGTTGGGTCCCAGGCGCTGGTTGCTGGGTCGTACACGCCGCCAGCCACGGTCCTTCAGCAGATTGATTCCGTAGCTGACGCTGATATCGTAAATGTAAGCAAATGAAAACTTATGATTTAACACCAAATAATTTGACCTTAATGATCCAATTTTGGAAAGAATGCATAAGCTCCTTTGGGCCATATATGTCACTGTCCTACTGTTTGGTGCCTCTCTGCCTGGCTCAAAGGCGGGATGGCTCATTACCGTCACTTCCATAGATGGCTTCCTTGTCAACTCAAGATGTGTGTCTTCCTCATTCAACTAAAAGTACCAGAGTAAACCATTTAAAATTCTTAGAGGTCAGGAAGAGTTGAATATTGGCCATTTCATGTGATTCAACCTAATAGTTGAATTTGGCGTTTTTTTCTCCTTCCCAAGAAATAAACTTTATTATGCCAGTCCTGCACCATCCAGCATCTCAAGATTTCCATTTGTCTTCTCAACCAAAGACATTCTCCTGCTATTGCTGTATTTTTTTTCACATATATGAGATTGAGTTGTTTTGAGGGCAAGGACTACGTCTTATACCTTTTTGTATTCTTTACGGTGCCTAACAAATACGTAAACTACAGAATAAATCCAAAATCAGTGGGTTTTCCCAGTTTCTTCCTATATTAAAAATGTCGACTCCTTTGGCGTTGTTAGAGGTCTCAGCCATCTTCTCACGAACAGCTCTACCTTATGTAGGGGCAGCGGGGTTAGAAAAAAGAAACAAGTTATTTTAAGGTAGCAACCTTGACTTGATTTCCCTTGGCCCCTAAGTTCATCATTTTCATATTCTTCCAAATGGTTCTCTTCCTCTTGTATATGATCATCATGTGAGTCCCAGCCCCGGCTGCCACTACCCCACCGTCTCCCCATGAAAAAACTGAGATAATGTGGGAGCTGCTACTTGGGGCAGTACATCCAACCAAAACAACCAGCCCCTGTACTTGAAATAGTGGCATAAAGAACACAGTAACTTTTATGTTAACGGTGTATTTTTATTGACTCAAGACTATTTGCCATGGTAATACAGAAACAGGAAAGTACTGCCCGGCCTGAGGCCCAACTCTGCCCTATTTTGCAACATCAGTGAGATTTTCCCTTTCCCCTTTTTAATATCTCTCCTCATATCTGGAGCACCACACTTTCTCAGTCACACATAGGAGGGAACATTCAAAGGAACAGCTGAGCTTTGTTTTCTTACAATGTCACAAATTAGAATAATGCACTGACCCTCACAAGAGCTTAGTCCAGAATTGCTAGTTCAGGATGCCCTGCCCATACACTCTTGAAATAACAGAAAAATAAGTTTTTGTCTACTAGATAATACATCCTCTTATCTCCATTCATTTTTCTTTCTTTTTTTTTTTTTTTTTTTTTTTTTAAAGGCTGCAAAGAAGTTTGTTTCTGGCCGGAAGTCCATGGCAGCAAGCGGAAATTTGGGCCATACACCTTTTGTTGATGAGTTGTAATACTGAAACACATCTTTCAGGGAAGAGCTGAATGTTTTCTCAACCCAGAGCAGAAAACACATGAAAGTCAAAAATCTCTAATATAACGTTTATCTTTTTTTTCCCAATGAGATGAAATGTCTTAGAACATGAATACAGGTTTTTGTTCCCAGCTGACTTAAAGTCAATAAAACATTCTGTTTAAATGTTTTTCTTGCATCTTTGCAATTGGCTAATAAAGTATTTATTATACGCTGAGATCTTTGTCTTAGATGCTGTAACAGAGAACAGGAGTATAACAATAGAGCCCAGAAATATCAGAAACTATTAAAATCAAGATAATTATTGATGGCTTTTAAAGATAAGCCATCAATAATTATCCTTTTAAAATCTATCCTTTTGGATCAGAACTATTAAGTAGTCTGGGTTTTACCCCCTTTCTGTCTTTTTCGCAATAGAGTTATTTCTGAAGAATATAAATTCCCTATTAATCATATTCTGTATTTCCACTGCCTTATTTTATGTCAGTTTTATCTTCACTGTGTGACAGAGTTTTGTCTTTCTCCTTATCTTCTCCCTCTCCCTTGTCTGTTTCTATTCTGTTTCTTAGGGCTAAGGGGGAAAAATTATTACATGAACAACTAGCCAGAAAATGTATCACTTATTTATTATATGTAGGGCATTTGAAGTTTGCAAAACAAGAGCAACTAAGTATCTAAATAAAAATGTGATACTTACCTTAAAAAGTGAAATTCTTTCTGTGTTCAGACATTCTGGTCCTGGACTCTTCTGCTGCATTTTGTAAAAGATGAGACATTCTTCTCCAAAGGGAGTGTGTTAATGATGTGAATGATGTTGCTCTTTTGAGAAAAGGCAGTGAGGCCTGTCCGACCTCAGGGAAGTGTTTGGATATCATTGAAGAAGGTCTCTGAAGGCATTACAATACACTTGTGAAAGAAGTGGTAAGTCTGCACATATTCCTTTTAAGTATAGCAAACCTGTACATAGCAATGCACAAAAATTGGGTGTTTTCAAGATCACCAATTTACAAACTGCTCCTAAGCAACTTTCAATACAGGTTGACCCTTGCCCTTTTCAACGTGGGCATAGTCTTCCAGCCAAAATGCATCTGAGGTGGAGGAGGCCGTGGAGGAGGAGGAACTTTCATTGTCTCGCTTCACCATTGTCCAGTATGGAGAAGGGGCTCTCACTTCTTTCTTAAGATCTCTGTGAATCATCACATCACAGTTAATGTCTTTTCCTACACTAATGGTATGGTTCTTCTTTTTATATCCATGCCATTCTCTGGAGATAGACACTGGTCTCCTTGCAGACTGGTGCCCAGTGGACTGTGAATATTTATAATACTTCAGTTTTTTATCTGAAACTACATCTTCATTTTCATCACTGCTTGTGAAGGAGTCATCTTTTGACTGCTTAGTTTTCGTTGTTGTGCTAAAATGAAAAAAAAATAGTGAAAGAAATGGATTTTTAATTGTCTAAACATTCATTATCCCCTAACAAGATGTCTTTTAGCGGCTTTGGTTCTTAAAAGAAAGGATATAATTTAGCTTTAGCACTTTCTGTGTTGTTGACATTTTTCTCTTTAAAGATACCTTTACATTTGTTTCCATTCCTAAGTGTAAATCAAATTCTGCCTTAAGTTACTTATTTTATATTGCTTTATACTGACTTAAGCCAGACTACTGACCAGAATATTAGCAGGCCTTAAAGTGTAGGTTAATTTCCCTCCAGAAGGACAGGTCAACCTGGCCATCTCCTCCACAGAGCTCTCTTATGGGTCACATTGAGTCAGCAATAACAGGATATTACCCATTTCCAGAGTATTCGGAGAACAATGGGCCTCTAAGATCTTCAACACACTAGTCATTGAGAAATCTTTGAGTCTTCTTTTTTCCCCTAAGCATCATCATTTGCCTCTCTCTGGGGTTTACAAACAGATTTATACAACACCTTCTGCACCCAGATGTGTCTCATTCACTATTCCACTTCTCTGTTGCTGACCAAATGTTTTTAAAGATTTTTTATTATTTTTTTAAAAGATTTTATTTATTTATTCATAGACACAGAGAGAAAGAGGCAGAGACACAGGCAGAGGGAGAAGCAGGCTCCATGCAGGGAGCCCGATGTGGGACTCCATCCCGATCCCGGGTCCCCAGGATCACACCCCAGGCTGCAGGCGGCGCCAAACCGCTGTGTCACTGGGGCTGCCCATATAACTTGCCCCAACTGTTGGCTTTCTTGAGAGCTCATTTGGAGGTTCCAACAGGGGAGCGCAGCTAATTGTACACCCTTGACGAAAGAACAGTTGTCCTCTTTGACCAAGTACACAGCTTCAGAAGGGATGCACATGAGCAATGAGGAAGGAAGGGGACGCCTGCCTGGCAAGCCAGATCACCCTCATATCTCCAGCTACTGGCTTTCTTTATTGTTGAAACTTGGGCAGTGCTTGACCTTTCTAATGCCTGCAGTTCCTGAGCCTGAACAAAGTGCTGTTTGCTGCTGCCCCTCATCCTGGTCTTTGTGATTATGGCCCTCTGGGACATCTGTCCTGCTACAGGGAAATAGGAAATCGTTTTCTTCCCCCACAATCCCCCTCACCAGCCTTTCAGACTGGCTTGGGTTATCACTAATATTCTTGCAGTTCTGACTGTTCTATTTGCTTCCAAGAATTGGGACAGGTTTTCCTAAAGCTTATCTCTTCCGGTAACAGTTAGTAACTGAGTAATTTTCACTGAGAGCCACTAGTCTTAAAATGTGGATTTTCTCAGGACTAGAACAGTTTGCTTTCAAACATGCACAGGACTTCCTGAACAGCACAAGAATGGGAAAAAAAAAATCCAAGTTACTTTTTTTTCCAGACTGCAAAGAATATCCTTTGTTAACTCTGTATTAGGTAACTATAAGGAACAAGTAGTAGAGCTATGTTCTTTTTCAACTGGAGTAAGATTATAAAGCCACAAGCCAGCAGAGGTCAGAGTTGGTTGGAAAAAGTTTTTATACCACTAGGCCTGTCCAGATTATTATGTGCAATATTCTCCAATATTCACAGTGCCATTTGCTTCTGAAAAAGGTCATGCCAGCTTTGTGTAGTAAGCCTTCTCTTTCCCTTTTTGCTCCTTCCCTGCCCCATCCCTATAAATTACCAAAGTGCCTTAGATATAAAATGCTTTGTTTAATTAAGGGAGTCAGAAAGTGTTTGGTATTGGTCCTAAGTCTGTGGGCTTTAGCCTCATTCTTGAGTTGTGCTATTCTGTTTCTTCTTTGCTTTTGATTGGTCAGTCTGCCATTCTTAGATTTTAATATTTTGAATCTCAGACTCTGAACAAATGCTAAGAAACATTCATTCTATAAACAAATGATTAACAACTCAGGCCTGAGAGCTGCACTCTCCAGCACAGGTCCTCCAAGCTGTGCTGCTGAATTTAAATGGTTAAACTTGAATAAAATTTAAAATTCCTCAGTTGCAATTCCACATTACAGGTGCTTGGGAGTGGCTACCACATGCGACAGATCAAATAGAGAACACTGACACCACCACAGTTCTTTTTGAACATTGCTGTTCTAGAGACAGGCCTAGCCGCACTTAGCCCTGTGACCTCTGTCAAGTTTACATGCACCTCTCTTGGCTTTGGTTTTCCTATCTATAATCAGGATAATAAAAAGCATTAGCCTGAGGATTAAGTGGTATAATGCTTGGAAGCAGGGTGTACCACATTGTAAGCAATGTTATCATTAATAATTTTTAGCTAAATCATGAGTGGTTTGGTTATTGGGGGAAAACCTTGTCCCCAGTCTGTGCCTGTTCTAAGGGGACAGCTCTAGCCCACTGTCACCATGTGGGGATGCAAGCCCATCTTCTGATTTTTCGGGAGAAACCAGAGAAGCAGATTCTTTCCGTGAAATCTTAGATGTGTAAATTTGGCAACTAATTCAAATATTTTTCATTTTAAAACGTTTGAAATATACAGAACAATATAAAAATAGTTTAATGAAAAAATATATAAACACTTTGGTAGCCACATCCCCAGGTTGAGAAATAAGAACATTGGCCCCCGGAAAAGCCCCCACGGATCTGCCTTTCTCTATACAAGTCACTGCTATTCTGGCTTTTTAAAATGCTCTGGGAGACTAGCAAAGCACATCTGTTGGCCATATCAGCCCCTTGGACCACAAGTTGGAATATCTGAAGTAACATCTATGCAATGTGGGCCATTTTTTTTTTTTTAGTCCTTAGTAAAGTCCCTAGCCAGATTTCCTTGAGCCCATCCCAATAACCAAAGATACACAGCTGTAGTGACTAGTGCTCAGAAATCCTGTCAGATTATTAAGGACCACTCTTGGCATCAGAGCACCGAACTCGTCATTAAAGGAAAATGATCTCATATTCAAGAGAACTTCCTCACACATCTCATCCTCAGAAGAGTCTCTGGTACACCTGAGCTCCAGATAAATATGCTCTCAGACCTCAAGTGATTAGCCTGAGCTTCATATCCAGATTTTTTCATTCATTCTGCATAAGGGAAACCATGTGAAAGTCCCGTGGCAGATTTAGCATAACCACACACTTACTCCTTGCCTTACAGTCTACGTTCTCCCAGGGCAACATAGTAAACAATGGATTATACAGATTACTTCACTGAAATTAGGATAAATGCTGTGAAGGAGATACACAGGTTACTTTGAAAGCATATGATGGGTGGACCAGACAGTGTTTTAACACTAATTTAGGAAAGCCTCTTGGATAAAATATTTTAATCAGGAACACGTCAATCAGATTTGCATTGTAAAAGAATTGTTCTGTGTAGAGAATGAAGAGAGGACAGGAGTAGATGGTAAAAACCAAATGGTGGCCCTGACTGGGGTGATGGTAGTGGCCAGAGAGATAATGGACAAATGTGAGAGACAACTAGAAGGTAAAATGACAAGTCTTTGTGATTATTTTGGGCGGAAACAAGGGAGATGGAGAAATCTAGCACAATCCCTAAATTTCTGACTTGTTCAACAAGGCAAATGCTCCTCCAGTAAGATAGGACCACTGGGAGATCAGCAGTGAGCTGGCTTTAATTTTTTGGCATAATGAGTGTGAGGGATTTGTGTTGCACCCAAATGGAGCTATCAAGTGGAAGATGAAGGGTTTAAGTGTACAAGGTTTGAAGATCATACAAACTGAAAATCACTCATATTTGGAGAGTGATAGAAACCACAGGCCTCAGTGAGGGATCGCCCAGGAGATTGAGAGAAGGGAGCCAAAGATGCAGCCCTGGGGAACTCCAAGGCAGAAGCCTTGGGAAAATGGTGTTTCAACAGGAGAGGGGGTGGGAGTTGTACAGTGTCAAATGCTGCTCGGGAGCCAAGTACAATGAAGACTTGAGAAGGATCCACTGGAATCAGGAATATGAGGGCTATGAGTGGCCCTGCTAAGAGGCCTACACAGAGGCGGTGGGGGGCAGAGCACCTGGGAAATCATCTGGGGAAATGGCCCACGTCTGCTACAGTTCTTTCCACATGTCTGAAGTCAAACAGGACTGTGTCTTCCTGTCCTAGGGGGCAGGAAGAGGGCAGCCGAGTCAAGGTGGGGTTTGTGAAGGTGGCAGAAGCCTAAAAAAGGCTTACATGTTATTGAGAAGACTCTAGCTAGAAAAAAGTTGAATGTGTGGGAGACAAATGAAGGAGTGGGATTCACAGCAGGTGTTTAAAGCTGACTCTGGAAAGGGGACACATTGCAGGTAGATTCTGGAGGCAGAGCTCCTCCCCTGAATGGTTCTCTTTTTTATGGCTCCAGGTTCAAGGCTCTCACTTTCATTAATCTGCCTCACATTAGGTCCTGTAGAGTGTACTTTTCCAGAGGGATTTAGAACCCACCAAATTATTGTGCTGGTTTCACCTATCCCTTCTCCCCTGGGCCAACTGATCATTCTCACATGAAACCAAGACCCAGTGCTTCACAGACCCCGGGGTACTAGCATAACAAAAGATTTCCTAAAATAAACTACTTACCGTGTTACTGGGAATTTGGTCTCAGGGATTAAATCATAGATTTCTTTCCATTCTGGGGGTATGTCGATAAAATATCGGTAAATCTTGATTTGTAGCACTGTGCCTATGGTGATGTGTTGCAAAAGTTTTAAAAATTCTCGAAGAGTATATCCTAACACATTGGCATGGCCAACGCTAATCAGAACATCACCTAAAGAGGGAGAAAATTATCAGTAAAATTAAGATAATGGGTCAGTTGGTTCATACCACTTCTGGCTTTACTGTGAATTGTTTCATCTTAAGGCTTCATATTGTTGGTTCATTATGAACCCAAACCAGGCTTCAGCCTTTGTTTAATAAAAATGATCGGGACACCTCGGTGGCTCAGTGGTTGAGCATCTGCCTTTGGCTCAGGCCATGATCAAGTCCCACATCAGGCTCCCTACATGGAGCCTGCTTCTCCCTCTGCCTATGTCTCTGCCTCTCTCTCTGTGTGTGTCTCACAAATAAATAAAATCTTTAAAAAAAATAAAAGTCATCTCAGTGACATGGGTGTCCTTTGCATAATGGAGAATGCATGCAAGATGTTTCTTAATAACAGTGTAACAGTAAATATTATATCATGTTTTTACTGCATTTCTTTAGTCCTTGGTGTGACATTTATAACCAGGTCACCTGGGTAGCTCAGTGCTTGAGCATCTGCCTTCGGCTCAGGGCAGGATCCTGGGGTCCTGGGACGGAGTCCTGTGTCAGGCTCCCAGCAGGGATCCTGCTTCTCCCGCTGCCTATGTTTCTGCCTCTCTCTGTGTGTCTCTCATGAATAAATAAATAGAATCTTAAAAAAAAATTATAATCTGAACCATCCTTTAAGATTCTAAAAATGTGTTTATTTCAGGTAAAATGAATAGCTATTACTATCAAAGAAAAAAAAAACATTTATACTAAGCGAATAAATGACCTAGTTTTTATTCTACCTGCCTGGCAATTTCCAGTGTCCTCCTCTGGTACTAAGATTCAAGACTTTGATTTTAATTTTCTGTCTTGCACAGTATTAGTTGAGCAAATAATTCTGCATGAAAAACACTGGACATTCAGCATGCTTTAATTAAGCTTACGAAAAAATAATAATAATAATTAAGCTTACGATGTCTACACAGAGAGTATGTTGGTTAAAGGGATTTGACAGCTAGGGGGCCCACTCTGGGGCATTACTGGACCTGTAGAGAAGTGTGATGGTCAAGTATGGAGCTTCTGAAACCCCTGCAAGTGTGATGGAAACCACACCTTGACGGCAAGCCCCTGGACCCCCAAAGTGCAGATGATACTCATTTGTGCCCACCTCCCTACCGCCAGCAGGCACAGCAGGGACAGGTAAAGAGATCCAGCCACTGGACACTCCCACCTGGGTCCCTGAACCCCAAGCAGGCAAGGTGATGAAGAGGGATGACAGGAGCAACCCGGCTTCCAGGGGTGGTTATGCGTGGTCCTTTGTTTTCATCATTTTCCAAGCCTGGTTCTCCAGCCTTTCTGGCAGTTCTGTCAGACTGAGTGTTCTAAATTCAGTGCCTTAAAAAAACTGTTTTCTATTGCTGGCACCAAATAATCCTGACTACAAGGACGTGTAGCAAGAGAGGAAGGAATACAAAGAAATTACTTTTTAAGGGCTCACATTGGGTAAAGTCTTAGCTAGATCTCACTAGAACTAACAGCCTGCCAAATGGTGATGGAGGCTTTACAGCTAACACTGGATGAAGGGACTCCAATGAAGTCCCAAAGGGCGTGTTCATCTCTCTGCTCCAGGGAAGCCAGGGCCCCCTCAGACACCCCCATTCCAAGAGAGCTGAAGCCTAACCTCCAAGGAGAGAAGAGGATGAAGTACCTTCTCTGAGACCATACCCCACTGTGGTGTAGTTGAGAATTATGCTAATCTCAGAGGAAGCCTCCAGGGAATGCCAAGGACAAACTCCCATAGTGGTAGATCCTATCAGAAACTTCAGTTTCAAAGTAGTAAAGAAAATGAATACTTAGAAGAGTGGAGAAAACCTGCTTGGGTCTTAGAAAGTAAGAGGGTAAAACCAGCCAAGTATCTGCAGCTAACTTCAAAATGAAACCAGCTTCTCCCAGCTACCTGCGGAGTGTGCAGTCTGAAATAGCTGTTCATCCTATGGAGGTTAATTACAATGGCAAAAAAACAACACAACCAACAACAACAAAAACCCCTCACTGGATGAACTTACGTGCCTAATGTTAAAAGGGGTGTTTATAGCTAAAAGCTATGGTTTGGCATTCTGCTTAATTACGTTGTTAAAGGGTGTTTTTTTATCAAGAGGGCAGAAAATAAACAGCTTCATTCCCTGACCATCCTGGCTGTAAACCAAACATGTCATTGTATGAATGTGATTACTCCGGCAATAGATATTAACATTGCCCTTCATAAAGAAATGCCAATCTGCTATTTATGAACACCAACCTCATTACACTTTTTTTTCCTCTTTTAATGGGCTTTAGGAACTACATTATTATAAACATTGTCTCCATTACCTATATTAAATCAAATTTGTGGAAGCCAATCCACTACCAAAAAATAGATTTTGTTTCTTCTTCATCTCTCCCGATGAGGCTGTGAGTTCCATAAGCTCCCTGTGGTTAGAGACCGTATCTGTTTGGCTCACCTGTATACCTCTGTGCCTCGCAGGACCCCTGCACACTGTAGGCATTCAGGAAACACTTACTGAATGTGGCCAGTGCGCGACCTGTGTTTGCCTTCAAAGCTATAATAATTTCTTAAGATTCTAGGTGTCAGAGTCTGTTTTTTTTAAAGATTTATTTATTCATGAGAGACCCAGACAGAGAGGCAGAGACATAGGCAGAGGGAGAAGCAGGCTCCCTTTAGGGAGCCTGATGTAGGACTCGATCCCAGGACCCCGGGATCACAACCTGAGCCCAAGGTAGATGCTCAACTGACTGTGAGACACCCAGGCACCCCCCAGGGGCTGTTTAAAGCCATACTGGGCAAAAGGAATTTAAAGTTTAGCTAGAATACACTAACACTAAACTAGGAAATCAGGTTGAAACCCTATTTTGAAACACCAGAAAAGAAAAATGTGAAGCACCTGAATAACAAATAATGGGAACGGGAGACCATAGGGTCAAAGAAATAGCAGGCTTGTGGGACTGTCACCTCTGAAATTCTCCATCAATGTCAAAAGCACTGAATTCGGGTCTTTGAAACCAAGCCCCTGAAGAGAAGTGACCTATCCTGAAGAGATTTGGGACTCTGGACTCTCTCTGGTACTGAAATTTTACTTCCAGTCAGGGGCCATGGACTTGAGTCCCAGCTCTGTGTGTCAACCCTGTTCCTTCATCTCTCTAACCCTCTGGCTTAGTTTACCTCCCTTCCAGGAGTGGTGCAAAGATTGAATGAGATCATAGGTGCGGAAACTCCTTGCACAATGGCTGCAACAAATACTTATTATTTGTTTATTAAGCAGACATAGCAACTGTGCAAGCACTGTAGGTTAAGTCCTGGCTTTAAAAGACGAATTAAAGACTGCCTCTGACCTCACAGAGCCCATGACCGCACCATGAGGTCCTGCCTGCTTCCTGTGCATAAATACACTCTCCTGTCTCAGTCCAGCCAGTGTGCACTCTGGCTATCAACTAGCATCTGTCGCCTGACCCCAGAGAAGCTGAGGAGAACAAGCAGAAAGCTGACACAACCTCTCCTGGACTTTTTTTGGTCTGGAAAGTCCAGAATTCTCTTTCTGGCACTTTGTGCCCCGGCACCAGGTAGTGACATTTGGAGAAAAATGTTTTGGATTTTAAGGTGAGGTAAACTTTCAAAATGGCATCATTTAATTATTTTCATCTTTAATCCACTGCTTCTAACCTGACCTGCACTTAGAATAACCTGAGGGGCTTTGAAACCATCCCTGGCCCCGGATCAATAGGATCAGAACCTCTGGGGAGATTGGCACTAACCATCTCAGTTTTATAAACTCCCAGATGATTCTAATAGGTAACGAGAGTTACAAACCAGCGGCTTAATCCACTGGGGCTCCTGTACCACAATCATTTTTTATTAAAAAAAAAAAAAAAAGACACAAGTCTGGAAACTCAAACAGCCTCAGAGAAATGATTGCTAGTATTCCCAGAGAACTGTAGTTTTCAAAGCACTTTCATAAAGATTATCTCTCCAAATCCTTGTCCCCTCTGATGAAGGTGGTATTATCCTAAATTAGAGATTTAGGATACACCTGGAAGATTACATGACTTTGCCCAAGGTCACAGAACTACAAAGTGGCAGAGCCTGGGCATGAATTCAGGCCCAACTGAAACTGGATGGTTCTTCCCTCTTAGCACCCTTCCAGCCCATTGCGTCTCCCTGACTTGCTAAACTGGAGCAGACACCAGAAAACATGTCTTAACGCTGAATGGAAAATTCATCAACGACAAGAGAAGCAGAGAGGTGTGGATAAAGCCCTTGGGCTCCAAAGTCTAACAGAGAGGGTCCAGCCCCTGATCCCTGGTGTGACCATGGGCAAGTTATTAATACCTAATTTGTTATCTATAAGGTGGTTTACTGCAGAACCTAGCTCAGGGATTGTCAGGAGGGTCTGAATAATTCTGAATTCATGCATCTGAATGGTAACAATAAATGATACTGCCTTTGAAAGAAGGGTTTCTCCACAGAGAGCCTCAAACTCTGGAGCGCCACTGTGCCTCTGCATGTGGGGTGAACCTGGGCAAGAACTCAATCGTGCTGAGCCTCAGTTTTGTCCCCCGTGAAAGGGGGATGATAAAGGCTCCTACCTAGAGACTTCTTGTAAGCATTCAATGAATAAAAATGCACAACAGCAAGAGCCAATGAAGTGATAGCAACTGGCTGGCCCACAGAAATCGGCTGCCAAACAACGTCAGCATCACTGTTACGGTTACATGGAAACCTGTTAACTGGAGCCTCCTCAAAGGCAGAGGAGGGAGGCAGGGGAGACCATAGTCACCTGGCTTGAGTTTTCCGTCCCTGGCCGCAGCCCCCTTCCTGATGAGGTGGGTGATCTGGAGGTAGGGCCCATGTTGGATGATGATCAGGCCCAGGCCCAGGCTCCCAACGGTGAGTTTGGTCTGCTGAGTTTTGCTCAAGTTGTGTACAGATGACTTGACCTTGAAGTCGATTTGTTTGTCTAATAAAAAAGAGGGAGACATTTCATTCCAGTCACCTAGACAACAGCATGACGGTTACCACGGGGATCCTAAAGCCAGACGCCTGGGGCTGTTCCTCAACCTCTCTATTCCTCAGTCTCCCCATCAGTAAAGTGAAGACAACGCGTGTCTAGCTTGCAGGCTTGTTGGGAGTGTAAACGAGACCACTCAAGGGCTTTGCACAGCGCCTAGCACCTGCCTAGTGCTTAATCACTGTCCGTTATCAATTGTCCACTTGATGATTTTTTTTTTTTTTGAAGGAGGCAGTGTGCTAGGAAAGAGCAGTTTCTTGCCCTTATGGATCTTCCAGCTTCGTGGAAGAGACAGATAGGCATCAGTCATGTAAATGTATGTTGAGTAACCAACTGTAACACATGCTAGGAAGTACAGAGAGGTCTGAGGGGAGCTGACACAAGGACCAGGTATCCTGTAGGGAAGGTAATCAAATTTGAATTGAGGTCCAAAAGACCAACAGGAAATGTTTAGACAAAGGAGGGTGGGAGGGATCACATGGGATCAGGGCTCTGGGACAAGAAAGAACATAGAGACTTGTGGTGGAGGCATTAGGAGCAAAGGCAGAGCCAACCTGGGCTGCTTCATTGGCTTACCTCACTGGAAAAGCTTACAAGCAATTTGAGCAGGACACAGTAAGATTCGCATTTTCTTAAAACCAAACCATAACAAAAACCCACCCTCTGGCTTCTGTGTGGAGCATGGATTGGGGGGTCCAGTGTGGAAGTGGGAAATCAGTGTTGCTGTAATCACCCAAGCATGCCATGGCAATGACGGTGGAAATAGTAGGAAAAGATCATTTGGCAGGAAAATCTGGGACAATGGGTGGTGGTGGAGGGGTGTGGAAACATGTTTTCTACAGAACCAATTGTCACAAGGAAAGTTTCAAGGACTGTGGGGTGGTGTAAAACAAGTTATTTTCCCAAGAGGAAGCTTCTCAGAAGACTCATTTTCAGAACACAGGAAACTTCTGAGGGACATTCACTTTCAGCACACCTTTCCTTAAGGCCAAGTGACAAACTGCTACTTGGCGAGAACCTTCACCGAATCCACCTGAAGGTGGTGCTCTGAGGGCCCCTGGAGTCCTCCCCCACTGCTGAGGGAGGGGTCCCCCAGTCCCCACCCCCAGGTGTGGAGGTCTGGGGAGGGTTCATGGCTCTTCCCTCTAGGCGAGCATTCTTGCTCATCTTCAACCTCACTCTCCCCCAAACCACAGAGCCTCTCTAGAAAATAAAGGAACCCCATATAAAGAAGGTACCACCTTTGGAGACCTGACCGGATTATAGGAGCGATTTGGAGCGGTCATACCCTCTCCAGCCTGGCCTTCCTGAACATGCCAAGAAGTGGCCTCCCAGGCAGGGTCCGAGTTCCAACCTCAGCTTGCAAGTTAAACAAATAGTGCATGGGATAAACCAACCTGGGAAGCCCAGTCTCAGAAGACACCGGGGCTAAGGCTGAAAGAAGGCAGGCTCAAAAGCCTCCGTGGACCCGAGGATTTCACTTTTATGACATTCTCCGTGCAAAGGGCCAGACTGCGGGAAGCAGATGGGCACCGGGGTCAGGCTCTGAAGTGCGGGCCGGCGGGAAAGGGGCAGCGCAGTCATTGGGGGGTTGGGGGACGGAGTCGGGGGTGGGGGGTGGGGAATCGTTCCACATCTTGATCGTGCCATGATGGTGGCTGTTTAACGTGGGTATTCGTTTGTCAAAACTCGAAGCTATACTAAGAATGGGGAGGGGGCTCTTACTGTATGTAAAGTAGTATGTAAAGTGAACAGATGATGGAGAGCGGCCGCCTCCCAGGCCAAGCGTGTGATGTGCCCATTTTACAGGCGAGGCAAAGTGATGGAGCCTTTGTCCCAGGGCGGCCCCCTCTGCCCACGGCCCCGTTACCTTTCCGGCTCTTGTTTGCGGCCTTCTTCATGGCCCCAGGGGGGCAGGCCGCTCAGGGGGGCCTCCCGGAGCCGAAGCTGGAGTGGATCCAACTCCCAACTGTTTCGAACCTTCGAGGCGCCGGCGCACTGCGGGCCCGGGGCGGGGAGCGGACCACCGGGTACCCCGGGGCGGCGGGAAGCCCTCGGGCGCTGCTCTCGGGATGGCCGCCAGGGGGCAGAAGTTGGGCGACCGTGTGGCCACAAGGCCTCAGTGGACCCCGGAAAGCAAGCGGAGGGAACATTTCGGTGGAGAAACAACAGAACTTGTGCAGGGGGAGGGGGGGGAGCCTAGGTAACCCAGCGCCTGGCTCACAGTGGGTCCATCATCCATCCTTGGAAAACAATTGAGGTGGGGAGGGTGGAGAAAGCACAGAGGAGGATGTGGCAAAGACACGAAATGGTCTGCAGAGGCGGATCATAAGGAGAGGACCACAGAAGAGCACAGAAGCCCCTGCTGTGCTCCCAATAATGGTATTTTTAAATATTGTTGCATCAACAGTTCCAACTGTTTCTGGAACTGCACTGTTTTCGTGGATGTTTTGAATGAGGAAAGGCCAAGGGTGGCTCGAAAAAAAAAAATGAGTCACGATTAGGAGAGGAATTAATTCTTCCTTCTTTTTTTCCCAAAATAATCTGTCCTCCCCCACACACATTCACTTACAGGACAAATATTTACTGGAAGCCCATTCTGTGGTTTGTACCGATGCTGGGGACACAACAGTAGGCAAGACAAACAAGGGCCCTATCCTTTTGGAACTCAATTTTTAAAAAGCAGATGAAACAGATAATTTTAGGAAACTAGTAAATGATCAAAAATATATTCTAGAAGAAATAGAAGACAATGTGATGAGGTAGGTCCTGCTGTCATCCCCACTCTGATGACACAGAGAGGGTAGGTACCTTACATTCATGCTTTCAACAAGAGTTATCAAGTATTTATTAAGTGTCACACCCTGTGCAAAACACTCCATGGGCAGGTTCCAGTTTCATCAGCTGTTTCTGTAGCTTTACCCAGACAATAAACCACGGAAGATTTTCACTGGATAAATCCTGTCTTTGCAGAAGCTGAGACAGGGAAATGAACAGAGCCTGTCCACTTTTGTACTCTCAACCTCCAGGAGTCTCCAGCAGGTGGCTTCTTGTGATCAATCACCAGTTTCCTCCTCCAAACAGTCTGGCGAGGTGTCTGTTGGGACACCAAATTAATTCCATCATAAAATGCATCCTTTTCCTCTACTTTCCTATGAGTGGGGGGATGGTGAGAGTTTGTGGGACTAAAGTAAGTCCACAACGGAGATTTGGTGAGGGGAGTATATCAGCACCTGGCACACAGCAGGTCCTTCTGCCTTCCCTCCATCCCAGGCTAAAAACCTTCTTGGAGCAGAGTCAAGATCACGCTGATGGGCGCAGTTGCAGGACAAAAAGGGTCGTGGATGCTGTCCTGTGCTGCCCAGCATCCCCTGCAGGACTGAAGGGTTGATTCCTGCCCCTCCACCCTACCTCTGCTTTTAGCTGAGCTCCTTGCCCAGGTTCACACCTTCCCAGGGCAGCTACCATTCAGTGGCTGGTCACCATAGGGTGAAAACCTGCCTCCCTCCATCCAATTCAGGCAACTCTGGAGAGCAATCCCAGCTCTGGGAGCAATCCCTCCAGGAGCTCTGGAGCAGGGAGGGGGTCCACTGAGGTCTTTTTGTGGCTGTGCTGCCACCTGAGCACCTCCCTCGGCCTGGTGCTGCTTCCCCTCCCTCCCCTCACAGGTGTGGGGTCCAAGAGTACATCCCAGTAAACTCCCTGTGACTCAACAGTGTCTCCCAGAGAACCCTCCCCAACTTGCAGCAGCTAGTGCCAGGGATGGTCTGAAAGAGCAGACGCTAAGATAGGATTTGGGGGCTGGATGACTCTGCTGTCCAGGTATTCATGAGGGTCCCATCCTCAGTAGAGGAGGAGTAGCCTTCCATTCTTCACCTGAGTAAGTGAAATGGTTGGGCACCCATATGATCTGCCTGTGTATCTCTTGGTATTCCTTTGCCCTACTTTGACAGTAAATGGACAAAGAAGCCACAGGCTGAGAAAATACATGACAACTAGTGGCTCAAACTCCTTAGGGATGGAGGTGTGAGCCCCCACCACCACATAAGCCACCTAGACTACCAGAGGTGCTAGCAGAAGGTGAGAGGAATTTAGGATGGGCAGGAGAGGAGGGAAGTGATGAGTGTGTCAGGCCTCAAGATGAGCAGCAGCTCCAGTGGGAGCTGTAGTTTGCTCCAATACCCTTCCTCTTCTAAGATTCCCCACAGGAAGAGATGCCCACCAGGGTCCTGCTCTCAGAACTGAAAAGCTGGTGGAACTGAGAGTACAATGGTGCACAGTGGCCAACATTGCCCTGTACGATCTGGTACCCCTGAAGACTGAAGGGCCTAGTCCCCAGCTGCTGGGAAGGTAGGCAGATCTCAGCTCTCTCAAGGAATTGCCCCTGGCTAAAGAGCAGCCTTACCCCAGGTCATGCCCCATTCCTAGCACCTCATGACTGGTCCATGCAGGTATGCAAAGGCTTGGCCCCTTTGGCCCAACTCCAAACAGCCATCCCAGCTTCAGAGTTTCCCATGGGGTCTGCCAAAGCTTTCTGGGACTGCACCACCACTAGACTGCTCCCTGGGCTTCCCTGCTGCCCACCCACCCACCTCCCACCCTCCACAGGAGCTGCTCCTGAGCGCACCCAGCACACTAATCTAATCGATAATCTCTTGTCTCTGAGTCAGCTCCAGTGGAACCCAGTCTGTGAGAGGAAAGGAGATGTGAGCCAGAGGCACAAACTGTGAAACTCTGGATTTAGCTTTTTTTGTTTTATCTAATCCCAAAAACCCCATGTGCACATGTATGGTCCATCTACCACACTCCTGGCTTGTATGGTGAACTTGACCCTCTGGCAGGGGGGGTAGCGGGGTAGGCGGCATGTTCTTTATCTTGTCAGGCCAAAGATACTCCTTAAAGAGAAGAATGATTATACACGGTCCCTCCACAGCTTGCACCAAGGTCCCATCTGGATTCCGCCTCTGCCGGCCAAGGCCTACCATCCATCATGATAAAGCACACCGTGTTCACAGCCCCTTAACAGCCACAGATTGCCTGGTTTATGACTCCAGGCTGCCAGTATAGATCCCTCCTGGGTGCTTTCTGGGTCCCCAAGGATTTTCTGCCTTAAGGATCCTTGTAGTTCATCTCTCTCTGAATAGAAAAGTCGTAGCTGCTTTGCTTAGGGGTGAGTGAGGGGATGGGGAGGTTCTATCACAGGAGCAGCGTGCAATGACTCGGAGTCTACTAAGATAAGGGAAAGAGGCCCAGAGACGTGACAGGATTTTCCCAAGTTCAAGTCAGTGGGGGGAGGGGAGGGCAGACTAGAATACAGTGCTTTTTTTTTTTTTTTTAAGATTTTATTTATTGATGAGAGACACAGAGAGAGGCAGAGACATAGACAGAGGGAAAAGCAGGCTCCCTGAGGGGAGCCTGATGTGGGACTCGATCCCAGGACCCCAGGATCATGCATGCCCTGAGCTGAAGGCAGATGCTCAAACCACTGAGCCACCCAGGCATCCCTAGAATACAGTTCTGTATCTTTTTGTTCCATCACACCGCCTCTCCCTAACCCATAGGCTTTGCCTCTACTAAAAACTAGACTGAGATACAGAGGAGAAGCAAACTGCTCTATCTTATAGATCTAAGGGAGGCCTGGGACTTAGAAACACCAGGTATGTTGTAAGTCAAGAATGAGATGTGGGGCTAAAAACAGGGTTAATGGAAAATCCATAAGCAAAGTATTTGGTCCCAAAATATTTGATCCTGGATGGTAAGAAGGAATGGGATCGGTAACTATTGTCTAAAGTGACATGCCACCACTAATCTGGTAAAAAATATTCTCAATTTTTTTTAACCTCACTCTATTTTCTTCTATAAATTTAAGTATAGTTGACATATATTAGTTTAGGGTGTAAAACAGTGATTCGACATTCATATACATTATGAAATGATCACCACCATAAGTGTAGATACCATCATACTGCTTGTTTTTATCCTTTAATCTTAGATCCACCTTTTGTGGAGGGGCAGAGATAGGAGGGACTGGGAAGTACTGCCCAGGTAGAACGAGAAATTTATACTTGTTTTATTTATTATTTATTCTTAAAACTTTATTATTATTATTTTTAGAGAGGGAGATGGGAAGGGCAGGGGAGAGAATCTTTTTTTTTTTTTTTTTTTTTTTTTTTTAATCCATGAGAGACACACAGAGAGAGGCAGAGACATAAGCAGAAGGAAAAGCAGGCTTCCTGTGGGGAGGCTGATGCAGGACTTGATCACAGGAAACACCACCCCCCATCCCACCATCCACCCTCTGCCTGGGATCATGACCTGAGCCACCCAGGTGTCCTGAGAGAATCTTAAACAGGCTCAATCTCACAACCCTGAGATCATGACCTGAGCTGAAATCAAGAGTCAGACACCTGTCCAACTGAGCCAACCAGGCGCCCCATATACTTGTCTTTTTTAAACACAATATTCAGGGATCCCTGGGTGGCGCAGCAGTTTGGCGCCTGCCTTTGGCCTAGGGCGCGATCCTGGAGACCCGGGATCGAGTCCCACATCGGGCTCCTGGTGTATGGAGCCTGCTTCTCCCTCTGCCTGTGTCTCTGCCTCTCTCTCTGTGTGTGTGTGACTATCATAAATTAAAAAAAAAAAAATTTAAACACAATATTCAAATGATCATCATTCCACTCATTGGAGTTAGAATAGGCAAACTGTTTCAACATTTCACCTCAGGATTCTCATCGACTGCGTAGTAGACAACATTAGTGGACATTATTTGATAATTCAGAACTATGTAGTTGGAGTTTATTCTATTCCTGGGCAACAGAAACTCTGGATAAGAAGCTAAGAATGTGATTCCATCAAACTTTTCCAGTACTTGAAATAAAAAAAAAAAAAAGTGAAGCCCTCC